CCAACAAAAGCCAAGGCAATAAACGAACAATTCAAGTGATTCTCTTTGCCTGACAGTTATAATATCTAGAGAGAAATGGAGCAAGAGCATGGATAAAACACATGCGACCGAAGCACTTATTATAGCCCTGAATCTATAAAACCAAAACTATAAATTTATTATTAATCTGATACATCACCCATGGGTTATGTTTTAGCACCTGGGCAATTTTTTCATGCAGCAAAAAAATAGCATAAAAACTTCACAAACATAAAAACAGTATTGTTCTGACAGAGCTTTGTAGAAAGTCGGCAAATCTGTCAAGAAATAACCATGTGACATCCAATTTAAGTTATGCCAAAAATGAACATTGAAAAAATTTGAAAACAAAAATTGTCTTCCCAAACATACAAGTTAGATGCAATCAGAAATTCTAAATTATGCTAAGAGCTTTGTCGGTTTCTGGCTGGTCTGGCGTGCTCGTACTGATACTGGGTCAAGCGACAATACAACTAAAGACATGAATTTGTGCACTGGATCATTTATGATATCCATGTATAATAGCAATAAACTTTCAACATAATTGTGCCAAAGTCATTCAAGTTGTCAAAGTGATTATTTCTAATTCTATCCTTGTTGACTGAGGAAATGTTCCTATCTACATGCATTGCTTTAAAGCACATTTTTTACCTTGCCACATACATGAAGTTACGTTTCAGTAGCGAGTCAAAAAGACTGAAGTTCACCTTTTGTTGAAATCATCACTGGTACAGTGAATGTGTAAATTTTTGATCAAACTACTGCATGAAAATAACACAAAAACATTTGATTGTACAACAAATGTTGAAAAAAAGTAATGCGCAATGATTTGGTTCAGTGATCTCCCTAAATATGACCCATCAGACAAAACATCACCCAGAGCGATCTTTCAGATAAATATGACACATGGATACGGTAACCTTGAAGATGGATCCATGAACGGTTCTTAGACTATCATGCCCTCTATCACGCACAACTTACTCACCTCATCTGGGAGTGGCCTCTTGGTGGCAGCACAATTACCATCAACATAATCGATCGAGTCTGTCGTACATTGTTTAGAATCCTCCCTGAAAACAAATCACAACAACAGAACTAACAATTCCTGATTCCCGAATTGATAGTGTTTGTGCATTTATTGTTATTGTTTTTGCAATTGCACATATTGCATGACCAGAGGTCAACAAACTAGAAGGTAGAACAGATTTTCCAAATTCGGAGTACACTGATCATCCATGTTTCTAACTTACAGCGTAAAAAAAACCTCAAATGAAAGTCCCACCATCTTTCAACTAACTATTTTGTGGGGGTATTTTGGGAGTCATATTTATTCAGCAAAACACACAGGTACCATCTCTTTGTCAGTAATTTTCAGCAATTGAGCTAGTTGTATTCAAGAAAAAGTCATAGCATTTTTTTTTCTACCAAAATTGAAAAAACAATTTGCCAAAAATAGAGAATTGAAGATATTGTCATGAAATGAACAAATCTGACAAAGGCCACCCAATGTACCCACAAACTAAGTATCAAAGCAATTGAGCTGGTAGTTCTCAAGAAGAAGTCGAAAAAAGCAATTGTTGATGGATGATGGACGAACGACAACAGGCAATCACCTATATGAACAGCTCTGCTTTGTAATCTGCGATGACATCGAAGCTAAAAAAAATTATGTTTTTAGCATGAGATTTGAACTCTCAATTTTTCACTTGCAAAGCAAAGGTTTCAACCACTACACTATCACAATTTTCAAATGATCAACTATGATAGCAATCGGCTGAACTTTAATAGAGTTTTCGCAGCAAGTACAGTTTACGACGATGACACAAAAACTGAATGACAGACATTTTTCAACTACTACAGTATTACTGTCCCTTCAGTTTATTACTTGCAAGCAAATAAAACTAATAAAAATTTGATAAATTTATCAATTTTATAAAATCCTGGGTCTAACTAGTAGCATGTTGTACTTTTTAAGGCGCATTTTTTTCTATCAGAACAGTGACAATTCAACATGAAATAAAGTAGTCCATAATATGAAATATGTAAAGCAATTAGCAATATTATCATAATTGGCTGGTGTAGCAAGAAAATGCATACTAGATATGAGCAGAAGTAAAGAAGCCATCAAAATCACCAACAGATCTAAACACAAGTCAACTAGAGTAGCCAGCTAGCTAGACCAAGACTGAGGGAATAAACACAGTACTGTTGTATAATTACATGCAGATGAAATGCCAATCTAAGTAAAATTACTCAGGAATATTAGTGGCTTTGGGTTTTTTCCTTACCTGCTTTTCTTCTCATCGCCATCCAAAGGATCAATTTCACATGTAAATTTCTTACTGTCCTTGTTTGCAGTAACTGTTTCCACAGACACAGGTGAGTCTATCTCCATAGCAACAGGTAAATGAGTCACTAGCTTTTGTCCTGTCTGCAGAATCTGTATCATCATTGCAAACTTCAACATTTTTGCTCACAGCAGATTCTGGAACCGAATCACTATCAGCACTTGCATCACTGTAGTATGAAAATTTAAACGTTTCTGTGTCTTTCAAGAAAGACACTTTCTTTTTTTGAACACCTGTTGATGCTCCATCTACTAACAATGACCTGGCTGTTTGAAATGTAACTGGATATTTTGTGTCTGATGAAGTGTTATTGTCACTATCAGTGTCCTTTGGAGAGACAGACTGTTCCTTGGATAATAACAATGAAGAAGCAGTCTGAAATCCCATTGTGGCAGGTGGATTTATCCTACTAAATCTTGGAGCTTTGAACTGCAATAAATTGAAATTAATAATAAAAATACATATTTTATGAAAGCTCATACTCTATCATTCGTTAAAATTTGGTGTTGAATTAGATGGAACTTTCACCTGGTCACCTTTTATTGACTATTCATATTAGTACTATGAAGAAACTGAGCAAAAAAAAACAATTTAAAAAAAAAAAAGTAGAATGAAACACAAGAAACAGCGATTTTGCATTACTTTTTTTTTGGTTAATCTTTTTTTTCAGAATACGAGTTTTCTTTTTCCATTACAATTTTCATTATGTGTAAATTCATCGAAAATCACTGAACCTCTTGTATATATCTACAATTTCTGAAAAAGTGAAGAAACCGGGTAAGTGCCCACTGAGTTGTACAAGATAAACTGTACTTGCCTGTGGAACATTAACAGCTGAGACACCAACATCACTTGAGTTACTTTCTTCTTTTGCACTCTGTGTTACATTACCTGATTTACTTGTAAGTACATAATGTAATTCTTTGGATTTGGTGGCCTTATTAATTTCAGCGACCTACAAGTACAAAAGTTACACATTATGTAAACATGTAAGAAGGGTACATTTACCCCAGAGTGCATCTCACAAGTATATACTATGCCTTATACACTTTGTAAATATAGAAAATAAACAAGCATTGAGAATGCACAGTCCCTGTTCTGTATTAAAGACAAAGTCTATTACCAGTAGCGATTCACAATTATGTGGCTATAGTGATGTATTCTGTTGTTGAAGAAAATATTTGGTTCACTGGGTGAAAAATGTAATGGGCAATCAAATGCCAGCATTATAATTCAAACAAATAATGTGACATTCAAAATGTGAAAGTTAAAATGACAAGTTTATGCAAAACTACTGACTGCGAAACAACAAAGTTGTAGAGCACATTTTATCTCTTAATATATTATGTTTTTCAATTGATGGTAATGCTTAAAGCGCGGTAGTCGTCGCGTTGCGTATGTGCGAGATATATGGGTCTCATATAAACAAAGATGGCGACTTTGACTGTTGCACAGATCAACGAGTACGAACTGAGACGTTTCCAAGCTTTAATTAGTCAATTTTCATGTGATTGAAAGGTATCGAAAAAGTCACCGGCGGTAATCAGTGCAAGTCGCGCCCAGGTCAAACCTCATACTTGTGATTTTCATTTGAAGAGCGCAATGTATTGTGGGAAAATCAATATTTATCAACACAAATGTGGCACATGCCCAGTGCGACGACCTGTTAAACTGTAACAGACATTTGTAGAGATTTTTTCTCATTGTATAAATATAGTGTATTACCTGAACAACAACCCTGAACTGCAATTTATACCTCGCCCCCACACACCAAGGTTGTATAAAACATCTATGTATGTAATGTAATGTAATGTAATGTAATGTAATGTAAAGTCATTTGAACATTTTAATCATGAAATGACATTCTGAGTGTAGTTTAAGCATTAGACTAACTTGCTGCAAGTGTGTATGAAGTAAACTGCCTTGAAAAGAATCAAAGTTGTTTATACACATAGATAAAAATTCCAAAACTTTCTGTGGACAGGTGAAAAAAGATTTTAGAATCTCGCATTAGTGTTAGTCAAGAATCAGCACAGACATGAATAAAAAAAAATGGCTGTCAGTCAGCCATTTTTGTTTGAATCTCAAAAAACAAATTGACGTGCACCTGTAACCCAATAAGGTGTTACCACAGCAAATCGCAAGTATTGAACTGTGTATGTCATTTTTTTTGTTGGACACACTCATGCTGGTGGGCAGGAATGTCACTGTGCACCTATATTCATATAAACTAGTGAAGAAGGTTTTGAAAGTGTTATAGACACCTTTACTCAATTAGCAAAGATTCAACTGAAATTGAGGCCTAGAATATATCACAAATATCCCACTGCACCATGGACATACAACATCATCGCTAATCTGATGAGGAAATCAAAAGATTGGTACTTTACCTTTGAGAAAATCTTGCCTCTATATATATTACTTTGTTTACTGTCTTTAAAAATGATGTGTTCTAAATTCAATGCACAGTCTGTGGCTTCCATGTCACTGCAAGTAAAATTGAAATCCGTGACTTTAAAGCATGGCTCAACAATCCCTAGAATTACATCAGTGCAACAAGAGAAAGGTAATTTGAATAGCTTGTTTACTATGTATACAAATGTTACCTGATCTGTTAATCCTAAGCGCTAACATTGTACACTGCATTGCCTGTAGTTCGGATATTAACAATTTGATCAGCCATTGAAAGTCACTTTGAAGACTTGTGCTTAAAGTGCCTGTGAAATGGCTGCTATTTTCACGCCTAAAATTATCCATTGATACATATATATTATTAATTTTTATGTTTCTAAGCATGAATTATTTTTTAAAAGTAAAAAAATGTGTTTTAAACTCAATCTACGGCAACCTTATTTTTGTGTATTTTAAAACGAGGCTCCTCATTAGCTTCTTATTTGCATACAGAAATTCCCCTTGTGACGTCAGAAGGGGAAGTCGCATGGCAGCTTGCATTGCCAATATGTGTAAATAAGGCAAATTTCTTCTGCAGTTTTCTTGTCTTTGACTAAATTTTCACTTATGTACTTGTTCGTCAAGGAGGAATGGACCATAATGAGCACATAGTATCAATTTTTGTTGCATGGGGTTGAGTTAGATGCGAAATATGTCACTACACTGTTTTTTTTCATCGATCGTCTGAGTAAAACTTTCAAAATTAAAATAAAAGAGAACATATTTTGACATTCCAAACATTAGACTATAGTGATCACTATAAAATAATTAAAAAAAACGACAAATCACAGTTACTAAATAAATGACAGCCGCTTGGAAATAAATTGAAATTTTGTTGAAATAGTTGAACGCGTTGGTCACCACGAAGGCAAGTGTGTTAAAAGCGGTGTTTAATTGGATAACAAAAATAATCGAGATCGACACACATACAGATAAATTCAGAGTGGATTCATATTAGCGTGATCCATGGCATGATTGTCATAATTATAACATCATATTGAAACTTTATTTGGTGGAAACACATTGACCAAGCCCGGATTCTTATTTCATAAATTATTACGCAGATCAAGCTGCAAGCATGGAGGTAAAAAAAGAACAGAGGTGTGAATTCGACATTCAACACCAATCACCAAACAATTCAGAAACTTTTAGCCTTCGAAAATGAAAACAATTAGCAGTGTGTAAGGGCTGTGTAATTTCCTGTTTGTCCGACGCTTCGTTTTCGTGTCACTGTCAAAATTATTGCTACCTTTTACTTAAGAGGG